CTGAGGAGTTGTCCATGAGTGAAATAGCATGGGGTTGGACAGTCTGGGCCATCAGGGACAGGTGAAGTGGGAGTACAGATCTTACCTGAATTGGGACACTACCACTTGGTCCCAGCTGATGACTTTTATAAAAAGTGTTTAATTAGTGCATTATAGTTATACATGAAAGCGGGGTGGGGTTCATTTGGGCATGTCCACAAAGGCATGTAATAGAGTTTGCTCCATTTCGGTCCTCAGGGCTTCCCCTTTCCCTTCACTCCTTGCAACGTAGAAACTTTAGTGCTTCTATTTTTTTTTAGGAGTATTTGGATGTTTGGATCTTTAGGTTTTAGATAAATCTTCTGATATGTACATGTAGTAGTTAATATAGTCATTGACATTTTTACTAATTAGTAAATGTCATTCYGGATGCAACAAAAATGCCCTAACGTTCAGTTTGGTCACTGCTGCCAGTTTGAGATTGCTTTCATTGGACTCTAACTGCAATCCAGTGAAGCAGGCAGAAGAGGGTATTTTTTTGTTACAAACAAGGAAGCTGAGGCCCAGAACTGATTGTCCCACCGTTTGTGCACTGCCTGTCCCCTGGTGACGTAAGCTTCATGAAGCCATTTCCTTCACTGCTCACAACCCAGCTCCTGGAATCATTTCTGGAGCATGTGGACACTTGGAGAAATATTGATTGAATGAATGAATGATGAACAAATGAAATGAAGTTAAGTCACACGTCAAACAATGTCTACATTTCTGTGCCAAATATTCCTCATTCTTTATCTCATTTTAATTTGACAACATTTTGAGAGAGTTAATAATATTATTTTGTAGTAAAGCAAGCTGATGCTCAGTAAGTTGCCTTGAGTTCATGCATTTTAGAAGTAGAGACTTCAGGCCAGAACCCAGATCCTCCTTGGATTGCTGATTCCTTTCTCTATCCTACTCTGTAGGATATCTAACAATATCAATATTACAACTCTGCCACATAGTTATAATATTGATATTGTCCACCCTATTCTCCCAAACCCGGACATTTTATCTTGCATCGCCTCTTCCTATGCTGCATGTGGGGGAAATACAGAGGTGATCAAAGTATTATTCTATGAATTACCTGGTTTATTGCCATACAAAGAAAATTTTTGCTTAGGTTCATAATGCTTAAGGAGGAGGGGAATAATGGGAACAGTCTCACAGGGAGTACATTAGATGTACATTAAGCACATAGTGAGTGAGTTCCAAATTTATTGAAGTCCAGTTACTCAGGAGCAGACCTCTGTAGAAAGGAAAATGTAACTAAAGTTTGAGGTGTATCTTTATACAAGCAGTTTTTGGAGGAACTGGCTCTACCATTGCAGCAGAGATCTGCAGTGTCACATGAGGTGCCCTGGTGCTTGAGGGTGGTGCCRGTGTTGGTGGGCAAGTGAGTGTTCAAAGCTTGGAAGCCAACATAGTGTCACCCTGTTACAGCTTGAGTTCTCAAGTCTTTGGAGAAGCAGCCAGCAGAGTGTAGTTCTGCCGTGGCCTAAGTTTTTAAAGTGTCAGTCAAACCCTTGAGATTATATATATCTTGAAGTTCTGTAGTTGCTATGGTTTGGGTCTCGAGTGTTGTGCAAAGGTCCACATGTTAAAAGCTTGGTTCCCAGCTTGTGGTGTTACTGGGAGAGTCCTTTAAGAAGTAGGTCCTAGTGGAAAGTCTTCAGATTATTGGGAACATACACTGGAAGGGGATCAGGGAATTCTGGTCTCTTTGTCTGTTTTGCTTCATGGCCATGAAGCAAGGGGTTTTGCTCTGCTACATACTCCTGCCATGATGTGCTACATTGTTTTAGGCCCCCCAGGCAGAATATAATGTATTTGCCCAATCATGAATTGGAAACTCCAAAACTGTGAGCCAAAATAATATAAATTGATTATGTCAGGAATTTGTTATAGTGATGGAAAGCTGACAAACATAGTAATTGAGGTTAATAACTCTCACATGGGGGTCTGATGAGGTTTAATGTAACATTCCTGAAGGAAGAGGGAGTTTGCTCCCACATATGAGGGTCTGATAAGATGTTGTATTCTTAAACAAAACATCAAAACAAAAAAAAAATGCAAACTCCAAAAGAAAAACTTTATGTAATAAACTATGTATTTGGAATCATTTCAAAGCAACATAACACCCTAGAACAACGGCCTACACGCTTTCTCTGTGAAAGGCAAGATATTAAATGTTTTAGATTTTGTGAGTCACACATTCTCCATTGCAAGTATTGAAGCTACCCAAGACAAATGTACATAAGTGTGTATGGCTGGGTTCCAGGAGCCACATTTTTCTTGAGGGCTATAGTTTTTCAGTTGCTGCCCTAGAAGACAGGGAAATTACCCACTCAACTGGGGTAAGTTCCTAGATCATAGTAGATGTTTAAATTCTGTCTTAGTTATTTATCTTTACTTAATGATTCTTAGAAATGTTTACTGCTGTTGCACCTTATGTTACTCTGAGGTTGCAGTGGTGTGCTGGTAAATGCGTAACAACTAGTTCTCTGGTAGGATATAAAGGCTTTGATGAGTAGTTTGCCAATTTATGATTTCCGTGGTATAAATATCATGGTTATGGCCAATTTCAACTCCTCAAGATGACTGAACACAGCATGGAGAGGACATGCAGTTGGGGCTGGCTCTGGAACCTTAGTGTCTGAGGGACTAGACCAGTTTGGATTCTTCTGGAGTAAGTAACAAAAATTCCAACTAGTTATAACAATAAGTAAGATGTACTGTTACTTAATAAGCTAGAGCGAGTGGCTCCAGAAGTAGTTAACTCAGCAGCTCAGGGACATCACTGAGGTCCCAGTTCTTTTCATTGTTCTGCTCTGCTGCCTTGGCTTATTGACTCTGTCCCTGGGCTAGCTTCCTTCATGGTTAAGGGATGGCTGTGGTAGTCCCAGGTATCAGGTCCAGATTCAGAATGCTTACAGGATGAAGAAGGGCTTGTTTCTTTCCTGTGTCTTAAGAACAAGGAAACATTTCCTGGAGGATTTCCCCCAAAGTCCATTGGCTAGAATTGCTGTACATTTCATCCCTTGTCATTCACTGACAGAGGGAGGGAGATCAGCCACAACCCATTCCCAGAAACAGGGAATTGGATCAGCACTCCCTGAAGCATGTGGCCACTGGAAAGAGCTGGTAAATACCTACCTGAGCAAAACCAGGGAGAGGATAGAATGGAGAATGGGTAAACTATGGATTTTGAGTGGGCAGCCAACTGCCTGCTACAGTAGTCTGTGTCTGTGAAAACTATGAATATAGTAGCTCTTTTAAGTTAGTCTTATCTCTGAGTGTTTAATTTGAGGGAAAAAAGTAATAGGCTATTAAAGCTACTTATCTGCAGCACAGATTTATATTTTGGAGGGATGGATCCTGAAGCTCCAGAGTGTTAGAAATTCCTTTAGAGGACTGGTTTTGCTTTGAATTTGGAGATAATTCCATGGCTGATGAAGCCAGTGATCTACAGACACCTTTCAGGGAAATAGCAATGGTACCATTTTTTAAAAAAATGCATTTATAGCTGCCTCAGCCTGCATTTTACTTCATCCTTTGAGTGTGTCATCAGCAAGAGTTGTATGTGTAGGATCAGGCAAAAATGTTTATGAATTTCTACCACAGAATAAGGACATGTGATGGAAACCATGCTGGGGCATGGGTTAGGAATAGTGGCCTTATAATCAGACCAGTTCATGTCCCACTTCTGCTGCTTAATAGTGATAATAGTAATTGGGAAAATTAAGCTCTCTAGCCTAGTTTCTTACCTACTTTCTTTGGGTTGTTATAAGCGTTAACTTTTGGTTATTCTGTCTCTGAGGCTGTGGAATAGCATTTTGGCTTATGGAAAGTATTCTATAAATGGTAGCTCTATATCATTATTTTCACAAGCCCTGACACTGGTATTTTTGACTATTAATCCCTAGGCCAGTTATTAATATTATTATTTCCAATAATGATTTTTATTTTCTTTAATCAGTAGGTTTAGTATCAATATTGGTCTTCCAATATTTTTGATGAATGTCTAATACTTTTCAGCTGTCTACTTGCTCTCCTTTGTCAGCCTTCCCACATTCACAGGATGGCTAATAAGATAAAGAGGAGGCACCTGGCTTCAGAGTGAGCCATCTTGAGTGGTGTATGTGGAATTACCGTTGTTGCCTCCGCTTCACTACCTATGCTCTGTATTTGCTCACAGAATTCACCGGCAAACAGTTTGTTCCAGTGGCTTCAAAGATGTACTCATGCAAAATTCTGTTGTGAGCCATTTTCTTATATTAACACATAGCTTATTATGCAGTTTGGTTTGCCTATAATTTACCAGGTGGTACATAGTCTATGTTCACCTGATAATGCACACTTTGTCATGCTTGAAACAATCTTTCGTTTAATTGATGTTTACTTGCAATCATAATGAAATTGTATCAACAACTGAGTTATTTGCTCCATCCACTAAAAAGTGTACCTGTCAAAACTCTTATTTTGCCTCTTAAAAAATTTGTCCTTAACTATAGTTAAGGAGGCTGAAGAGTGCCTTAAGGAACTTATTTCCTTGCATTTTCTATGGGGCCAGAATCCAGGCACAGCTTAGTGGGGTCTTTCCCCAAGGACCTCACAAAGCTTCAGCCAAGGTGTCAGCTAGTCTATGTTCTTAACTAGGGAAAAATCAGCTTCCAAGTTCACTTGGGATGTTAGCAAAAATAAAAACAACAACAACAACAGCAAAAAACAAAACAAAACAAACAAACAAACAAAAAAAAAAACCTCTAAGATCCATCAAGTTTTTTTTTTCCCCCTTCTGTTAGATGACAGTTCCTGCCAAGTGGCTGTCCATGGGCAGTAGGCAACATGGTAGCAGGTTTCTACCAGGCCAGTGGGAAGGCCAGGGTACAAACAGGAAAGGAACAATCACTTCTTACCAAATGAAAAAACCCACCTTTGGACAGGGCAATAAAATACAAATATGTCCCCATTTTTGTTTGTAGATGGCCAGTAACCCATGTGCCAGGTAGCATTCTATGCCGACCTTGAATAACAACAGGAAGCCGCTGAGCAGCAAACTCTTCGTAGATCATAACTTGCTGTTGGAATAACTTAGAAAAGAAGAAAAAGGAATTGGAACCATGGCAAAAGTAAATAGACCTGGGTCTACCTCCCCTCCAGATGGAGGATGGGGCTGGATGATCGTGGCTGGCTGTTTCCTTGTTACCATCTGCACCCGGGCGGTCACCAGGTAAGTGGAGATTTTCTTATTTTCTTCTTTCTTTCTTTCTTTCTTTCTTTCTTTCTTTCTTTCTTTCTTTCTTTCTTTCTTTCTTTCTTTCTTTCTTTCTTTCTTTCTTTCTTTCTTTC